ATCTGTTTTGAACAATTCTGCATTTAAATTTTCATATCCAGGGGATTTTCCATTTTTTAGACTTTGTATTGCAGAGACAATTTCTGGAATTTGTGGTGGTTCAATGCTTATGTTTAGGTCATTTGCTGGATAACTGATGTCAGGTTCATGAGTTGGAGGTGGTCTGTTTAAGATTTCCTTAAAATGCTCTGTCCATCGTTCCTCCATCTCTTGTTCTGATGACAGCAACTTTCCTGTTTTGTCCTTGACAGGTAGATTGGGAGATGGTCTATTCCTGCCACTCAGTGCCTTGGTTATTTTGTAAAGGTTTCCTTGTTCTCCTCTGTTGGCTGCCTCTTCTGCTTTTGTTGCTAGGTCATCTATGTGTGCTCTCTTGTCTGCACGTAGAGCCTTTTTCACTTCCTTCTCTATTTCACTGTATTCCCTTTGATGTCTCTCTTTAAGTCTCAGAGATTTGGCCTCATTTACTTTCTTTTTGGCATCTCTTCTTGAGTCAATCATTATCCACGTTCTAGGCATTATCCAGTCTTTACTCCTATGCTTCTGCCTATAACCAATACATTTCTCACCAGTTTCAGTGTAGATGTTGCTAATTTTTTCCCACTTTTTGTCGATTGATGTTACATGTATGTTGTCCTCTGGTTCCAAATTTTGTAATATATCGAACTTATTCTTGAGCATGATGTTGAATTCATGTCGTACCTTGATGTCTTTAAGTTTATCCACATCAAATTTCTTTCTTGCCATGTTCTTTCTCTCTGTGCTACGCAGTTTTAGTTTGATAGTTGCTGTTACCAGGTGGTGATCGCTATCAACATCGGCACCTCTCTTCACCCTCACATCCAATAATGATCGTCTCCATTTTCCATTTATCATGATGTGGTCAATTTGATTTTTGTCTCTCATGTTTGGAGAGTGCCAGGTTAACTTATGAATGTTTTGGTGGGGGAATAGTGTTCCTCCAATTACATATAGTTGGTGGTGGTACAAAACTCTACAAGTCTCTCTCCATTTTCATTCATGCTTCCACAACCATGTCGTCCCATTGCCCTATTGTATAGTTCATTATCTGCTCCGACTTTAGCATTCATATTACCCATGATGATCTTAATATCGTGGTCTGGTGTGTTGTCTAGTTCTTGCTGTAGTTGTTCATAAAAAGCATTTTTATGTTCTTCATCTGCATCGTTAGTGGGTGCATAACACTGGAATAATGTCATGTTGACTTGCTTTCCTCTAAGCCGTACTGTTAGCAATCTACTGTTGATTGGCTTCCATTCCATTAAAGACTTCTCAGTTCCCTTTTTGAGAATAACTGCAACCCCTTCATGATGTAGTCCATCTTCTCGACCAGAATACAGTAATGTTTCACCTGTTGTTGTACGTATTTTCCCAGAATCAGTCCATCTGCTTTCACTGACTCCCAGCATGTGCAGGTTGTATCTTCTCATCTCGGCTGTTACTTGTGCTAATTTACCGATTGCATACATAGTACGTACATTCCAGAATCCTATTTTGATCTTAGTCTTGGCCGTGTTAAGGGCCTCCCTTTTCGTGTTGGTAGTTCCCCAATGGCTTTCACTACCTACAATCATACTGGTTCCAGTGCAGGTCCCAGAGAGGCTCTCATTCACAGGTATAGAGATATTCCTCGTTACTGTTTCCGTAACAATACTTTTTTATGAGTTAGGGTTGTTAGCCCTAAGCTCAACCCCCTGGACTCGGAGGGCCAGTGGTTTTCTGTCAGGGTATCCTTCCCTTAGCCACGGGTTCCAGTTATTTCAAGGCGCCGGACACTCGCCTTTTGCCACTGCCACTTAGCTACTAAAGCATTTCCAGGGTCACCACGAGGAGGTGTGGCATGTGACTTGCTGGCAGAACCTATTAGAGACGGTGGGCATTAACTCAAGGTTTTAAGTGGTGAGACCTAGTGGCATAAGTATCACCCCTTGAGACCCGAACCAGCATTTGACCCCCTCGAAGGGAAAAAGTCACGATTATTATTATTGCCTGGGTTCGAACATTAAGAATATCACATTTTTTATATAATCATAGAATGATTTTTTTTTTGTCGAAAGAATTTTTCGCAGATTTCTCAGATTGATTTAAAAATTCAAAAGTAAAAGAGGAGAGATAAAATATAACAGTCAAACTGGTCGATTGAAATTTGTAGGGACACCAAAAATTATCGATGCTGTGTGCAACACGATATCTGAAAATGCCAGATTTACACTGAAAGACATTGCTAAGACACTAAACATTTCATCATCACAACATTTTATAGAATTCTGATAAAGGAAATGATTATAATAATGTTTCTATATCAGATAGGTGCCTTATTTTCTTACAAATGCCTCAGAGAAAATACGCGTTAAATTATTTAAAAGCGTGAAAATATTTTAACAAAATAGAAGATTACATAAACTTGTGTGATGGATGACGAAACATGGGTGCAGTTTCTATAGCCGAAAGGAAGATCAAAAATAAAAAGTGGAATCAAAGAAAAACTTGTCTTATTATTTACAAGGCTCCAAATATGTTTTTCTAGTTTTTGTTTTTTTCTAGAGGTCCAGTAAAACATGTAAATACACCCAAATGAAGGATCATCAATGGTAACGTATAGGTTCAAATTTCACTTAGAAAAGTTATTTTACAGATTTTCTGCAAAGGAAGTCCAAATACCGGTCCCAAGGGTAATTTTTCCTTTACCATGACAACGCTGTTGCAAATAAGCATAAAGAAATAAATGAAATTTCGAAGAAATAGAAGGTTTGCAGACCTTAGCCACCCCCATATAAGCTAGATCACAGCCATTGTGAGGCCTTTTTATTCCAAAAAGGCATGAAAACAATCAAAGGAAGATTGTACAATATCAGACATGTCATGAAAGTGATATTCATAAGCGTCTTTGGGGCATCCCTAAAGATGAGTATGCTGAGGTTTTCTGGTCATGGGTACAAAGACCTAAGACGTGTATAGGGTAACAGGGAATACTTTGAGGGATTGAAAATATCAAGAATATGTATTACGTACTTTTCTTATTTTTAGACGACCTTTTGCATTATTTATTGAACGATCCTCGTATTGCAGGCGACACATGCGTTCCTTGGGACCTTATTTATATTCGACCAACACGTATCCATCTGTCAAAAGCCTGAAAGGAAAACGTAATGATTGACTTTCGCCTAAAAAAAGGATATATGTTATTTTAAATCAAAAGGATAAAAGTATGCAAACTAGTAATAATGCCAATTTTTGTAAAATACATAGCAGAATGTTATCTTTATGTGTAGATAATTATATACAAGCTCCTAGCTGCAAAATGACAAAAGCTAAAAGATTAAAGGAAGCTCTTAACACTGCTCACTGATCGAAGAGTTCTTATTCCAGTTGGAGTGATCTGCCCGTAGATGCAAGACAAATATTTGTAATAGATTAAAGTATTCTTCTTAAAGTTAATAAAGACCAAGATAAAGTAAATGAAACATTATTTACATATATTTTCCCAATGTAGGTAAACAACACTTACATACATGTATGTACGTATGTTCATTTAGAAGTCCTTTATTGTCTGATAGTAATGATTTCCCTGGGGAAATATCATACATGTAGATACCTTATTTGGAAGCAAACTATTTTAATGCAGTATATACATCTATATATTTCTCAAAGTCCAAAAAAAAAAAACCCAACATTTTTCATAATTATATAGAGCCTCCTTAAATCTGTTAAATAACAATATAAGAATTTTTTCGTAATCGATTTGAATATGAATCAAGCATACTACATGTACATATATACATGCTTAATAACTTTCTATGTAAGGATTTTACTTGAATCTTACCTATCTGAAGACACATTCGAATTGCAATCGTTAAGATGTACTTTTCAATGAAAAAGGTATACAAGTACATAAAGTCCACGAGTTGCTGCCACGCCCCTTTTAATGAGAGACAGTCTAGGTATGCGAATTGTCGAGTCCCTACGCATAGTTATAAAGTGCCCTCATGTGCACTCTTCTTCTGTTTACGTACTATGAAAAAACTTAAAAATATATTCATTAATCAAATCCGTTCATGAGAGAAAAAACAGAATTCAAGAAATTCAACGAAAACAATATTCATAAAATTTTAAGCATTTTAATGTTTCTTTTTCTCTGTAAAGAAACTATACATACTGCAGACTCATATTTCTAGAAACACAAAGTACATTACTTAATTGCGTTTACTTGATTTTACTTTACCAAATTTCTTGTTTTCTGAACTTCTTAAATTTGTCACCAGTAAAATTATATTTATTCGTAGGAACAATGTTCTAGTTCAGTCAATTACAGGACGGTAATATATAAACAGCATTATAGAAATAAAGTCAAGTTAAAGTCAAACATTAACATGAAATTTTTACGATGTATATTCTTAAGAGATAGTCCTTAATAAATTTATTGAGCATAAACTGTTAGAAATATCCCCATTTAATTTGACGACTAAGGGGGTTTCCTGAAAATGTATCTGCATGGTTTATTTCGTAATAGTATAGAATTATAGAATTACTTATGTAGTAGATGCATTTAAATGACATCTTCTAACATTATTATTATTTATCGTATGATAATTTGTCCATTACGGTATGACTCGTCTCATTATCTGTCAGATTTTCCTATCAGTGTCATAAACTGCTTTTCACGACAGACAGACATAATGTGAACTTTTTCTTTTGCTTACAAATAAATCAATTAAACTCTGCTCCATGTGTAAACGTGAGGGACAGCGTAGTTTTATGACATTTTCCAAAGATTCTCGGACTAAATTTTCTGAAAAACTTTTGCAACGATTTTTGTAAACGTGCCGTTTGTGCATTTGATTCATAAGTGCGATGTTTTTACGGAAATATTTACATGCAAATTGCAGAGTATGTACATTTTTTGCATAAATTTGAAGTTTTGACGATATATATATAAAGGGATCTTGGACAATACAAATCACAACAAAACAAAAGCCAACATGATGCGTTTAGTAGTATATCTCGTTATACTGATAGCTAACTCTGAATGTGGAGTCATACGTAAGTACGAGTACTCGGAAAGAAATTGTAAAAAAAAAAAAAAAAAAAAAAAAACCCATAACTTTAAACTTTACAGAGTTAAGTAAAAGATTCCATAAAATTATTTACAAACTTGCCTTTATTTAAAAGTAATTGTTTTCATAGTACAATGTATGTAAAGCTATCTTTTATAACAGATTCAGGGGGACACACGACAGGAGAAGAATGGGCAACTGAGAAAGGTTCATCCTCCAAAGTGTCGGCGGCCGAACATACAGCATGGGAGAAATCTAGTGGTAAAAAGTGGACTGGTGAAAGTAGTGGTGGTCAACAGTGGGAAAGTTCATCGGGGGGTGCTCAGGGATCACAGGCTGGCTTTAAAGAACAGTGGTCAAGTGGATCACAGGGAGGGTCACAGCAGCAGTCCGGGGGAAGCTGGTCAAAAGGATCTCAGTCAGGGTCAAAGAGAAGCTGGAGCAAAAAGTGGGGAAGCTCATCTGGTGGTTCTAAACAGTCCGAAGGAAGCTGGTCTCTCGGATCACAGGGAGGAAGGGCATGGAAAAAGGAGTGGGGAACTAAGCCCGGTTCTAACAAATTCTGGAGCACGGAATGGGGTTCAACCTCAGGTGGTGCCAATGGAGCTGGACGAAGCCAAGGTTCAGAACAATGGAGCGAGGGATCATCTGGGGGATCCAGACAGTCAGGAGGACAATGGAGCGAGAGTTCACAGGGGGAATCACAGGGGCAGTGGAGCTCAGGGGGATCTCAGCAATCTAGTGGATCACAGTGGATAGAAGGCTCTGAAGGGAGCTCAGGAGGAGCAGTACAATCTGAGGGCCAATGGGGCAGAACGGAAGGAGGTTCTGACGATAGATCTGGCAGTGAATTTGGAATAGAACAATCTCAAAGCTCAAGTGGATCATCAGGATCTGCGGGTTCCAGTGGTTTTGGTTCACAGTTTGCTGAATCGCAAAGTGGTGCTGCAGCTTCGACTGATGGATTTGGCGGAAGTCAAAGTGCTTCCTCAAGTGGTTCAAGGTCTGGGTCTAGTGGATTCGGATCCAATTTTGCTGAATCTCAGAGCGGTGCTGGGGCTTCCACCAATGGATTTGGCGGAAGTCAAAGTGGATCCTCAAGTGGTTCAAGGGCTGGGTCTAGTGGATTCGGATCCAATTTTGCTGAATCCCAGAGCGGTGCTGGGGCTTCCTCCAATGGATTTGGCGGAAGTCAAAGTGGATCCTCAAGTGGTTCAAGATCTGGGTCTAGTGGATTCGGATCCAATTTTGCTGAATCTCAGAGCGGTGCTGGGGCTTCCACCAATGGATTTGGCGGAAGTCAAAGTGGATCCTCAAGTGGTTCAAGGGCTGGGTCTAGTGGATTCGGACCCAATTTTGCTGAATCCCAGAGCGGTGCTGGGGCTTCCACCGATGGATTTGGCGGAAGTCAAAGTTCAACTTCAAGTGGTTCCACAGCGGGGTCTAAAGGATTCGGATCCAATTTTGCTGAATCCCAAAGCGGTGCATCTGCCTCAACAGGGCATGGCGGAAGTCAAAGCCACGCCTCAAGTGGTGCTAGTGCAGGCTCTCATGGACACGGATCCAGTTTTGCCGAGTCTCGCAGTGACGCGTCAGCGAGTTCAGGTAATGGGGGAAGTCACAGCCAAGCGTCCAGTAGTTCTCATGCATCTTCCAGCGGAAATGGCAGTTCTGCAGGTGCTTCCAGTGGAGCCTCTGCAAGCGCCAAAGGAAAAAAACATTTTGGGTTTAGAGGATTTAGACATGGTGGCGGAGATTAATTATGGTTAGTATTTAGTAGATTATAGTACTATATCAGACATCAAATTATAATTGTTCCAAGTGCAGTGAATGCTAAATTTCATTCTTGAGAAACACAAGTATATATTTGTTGAAAGGTCATGTTTTTTAATTGTTGGTAGCTTAACATTTTTTTTTTCAGATTAAAGGACTGCACCATTAACTCAATAAATCCATATCAATGATTATTTATACCCATAATAAATATAACACCAATTTTTATTGTTTTTGTGTTTTTCAAAGGCTTTTTGTCTTCTCAAAGCGAAACAAATTGAGTCGACAGATCTCCCGAAAGTCTACCGCTAAAAGTCACAAAAAAGTTGCACAGATTACATATAAGATTTATTGTAAACAGATAATAATTGATATATCATAAATTGATACAGAACCATAAAGGCAAAGAAAATATATACAAAGATGAAATATTGATATAGAGAATAAAGGGATGGATACATAGATACATAGCTGAAATCTGTACAGTGGATTTGTTCATTAACAACATATGAATTCAACAAAAACATAACAGTAACTAAATGATACAGTACTTGAAGTACATAACTACATGTAATTTCAATACAACAAACAATATAATGCTGATAAAGCATTTCTTTATCTTGTTACAAAACTGGAACTTTTATAGCCTCGTAAAACCTATGATTCTACAAGTGCTACAGTTCTGTTTTTATTTCTATACAAATAAATAAATTAAGAAAGCACCGCCATAACCACAAAACCACAGAAACATGCAGTTGTAAAATGCGAATAAATCATTACGATTTCTCAGTTTTATTAATATCTATGCAGTGATATATAATTTAATATCGCCTCTATAATTTGTACTATGAATCTACACTTATCATTAAAGTCCTTAATATCCGTTGTATTTTATAGGAGGAAAATGGTTGAACCTTGTTGGTTCCTCATAATTTGGAGGGTTATAAAGTCCCCATTTTGGGGGAGGAACCTCCATAGGATAGGGTTTAGGGTAACTAAATTGACCCAGGTAATGCTTGTTGTGGGGCATTGACCTTTGAACATCCTTCATCATGACGTCATTTTCGCGCGGTATGAAGTCATCGTGGACTCGGCTTGTTGGTTTAGATGGTCGTTCGTAGTGCCAGTTGATGCATTTGTAGTCACCTGAAAACCAATAATTTTGATTAGTTCAGAACTGATATTCATTACAGGCACTTGTTTCTGTAATAATTTTTCTAACCCATAGTGTGATAATAACATGAGCTATCTCTCTCCGAATCCCCCCCCCCCCTCCGAAATGCAGTCACATTTACATTTTCAGAGAAAACTCACTAGCAAACTGCTTGTTACCATTCTCTTCTACGATAATTTATGTACACAACCAAATAAGACACGTTTGTCTTTATTTTCTTTTATCTACGTAAACAATGTCAAAACTCTGCTCGACGACTGGAAAATTCGTCTCACACAGTTTACGGAGATAAAAGAAAATAAAGACAAGAATATCACATAATTATGTTTGTTAGATAAATTACCGTAGAAAGGAATGGTAATAATAAACAGTTTGCCAGTAAGTTTTCTCTGAATATGTAAATGCCTGCGATTGGGGGTGGGGGGTGGGGGGTGGGGAGGGGGCCGGGTTACACCATGTAATTCGGAGTGAGATATCACTGCCGGATTTTAAGGGGGCAGGGGGCCCGCCCTCCCCCTTTTATCCCAAAATAAACATGATCAAATATTTTTTTTGTGTGGACCCTGGGCCCCTAATTGCCCCCCCCCCCCCGTTCAAGAATTCTGGATCCGCCATTGGATACCTTGTGTTATTATGGACATTTAAATCAGTGCTTAATGAGAACACGAAAATGTTACGATGAGTTCGAATTTTAAATCACCTGTAGCGATCAATGCAATCTATAGACGATATGATCATATATGAACTTCAGCAAGCGAAGCATTAAGTCACTTATGCTTTATGTTGGAAAATAAAGAGATCAGTCTATATATACTATTCTCTTTAGAGAAGTGGACAGGCTTTCGCCTACGTCCACGAAGTGGATGTAGGCGAAAGCCTGTCCACTTCTCTAAAGAGAATATATATATATACATGTATATACATATATTACTGTTCGCAATCAAGTGTTCCAAGTTCTATTTTCTCAAATAATTTTCCATTTGACAAGTTGAAATGTGTAGATTCATTGCAAACAATGGTATTACATATATAAAGCATTTTAAAATTTCAGTCATTTTTGAATTGAGGTTCTTATAATTGGATTGAGGTTCTTACTTCGTCTGATAGTGTCTCGCTCTCTGTTGTACCAGTCGGTGTGTGTAGAGGTCGATCTCTTGGCGTACCAGTCCGGGTGTTCGCGACCCCATTTTCTCCACCCAGCCTTATTTGAGAGAACAATTTTTTTTATTCCATAAATTCTTGAACATATTAAATCAATTCATTCATGTATGTCATGAATTAATCCAGCATAATATAGAAATCTTTGCATCTGTCGGGTTTTTAAATTTTGGATATTTGAATGTTCCTTTTAATTAAATAAAAATACTAAAACGTATTAATTAGATTTCGTTTGTTTATAAGAAAAGCAAGAGCTAGTCTTTAACTTTGACTTAAAATACAATTCTAAGCAAATATTAAATACCATGTAATTCAAAATAAAGGCAGTTAATTAAATAAAAAAGAAAAATGAGTGCAGACCTGTCGAACATCTGGGTGACTGGAATGGTATATTTTCCATTCATGTAATTTGGGCTGCCTACAAAAGTCGAGAAATTTAAAAACAAATGGTACAATTTAAAACATGATAAAACAGACTTGTGTTCATACGAACCATTCCTTTGGTAATTTGGCAGGCGTTGACAGGAACTGCATAGAGGCAGCCATGATTCCTAAAATCTGAGAGTGCCACTTATGTTGTAACTAATTTAAAATCAGGGCATTTAAATAAATTCTTTTCGAAAAATGTAGTTATATAGAGATCCTTTTATTCAGAAAGAGAGAATTTGCCATAAAACAAACCGATAAACATGAATGCTAGATAGATTTATGTTTGGTATTAATGGCATTGACATAAGCGATATATCGATTTTTTTCGGGTCCTCTCCATAGGAACGTTTACTAACTAACTACTTAGTTACACACGAAGACACTTATAACAACGATAATAAATCTTTAAGATTCAAGCTGTTCCTTCTCTGTAAGATGCATTTGAATGTTAGTAATATTATGGATATATATTCTAAATAATTTGAATGGTACTACACCGCATATTTTTTATTAACTTTAAATTCCAACTTGTTTACAGTTGTAATCCTAAGCGGACTTATATACCTGAATACACACAGACAGACCTTTTAACAGACAACACAGAAATATGGCAATGGCAGACACGCTGTTCTTTAATGGACGACAAGATCGTTATCCTTATCATGTCAACTATCCCCCGACCGTGCCGAGGTACCCCAGCTCTCAGGAAATGTTCAGGTAAGGGGGTCATGCAGCGATACCAGATGAGCATATGAGAGAAAGGGAAAATTGGGGGGGGGGGTGAAGGGAACAGGGTTAAAATAAATTAAATGCGTATAATCTTCATACATAAATGACGACGAACGTCAGTAATTAAAGCATCCGCATACTCATTTACCTCGTAGGTACGGGGGAATACAGGGGGTGTGTCCCTCCCACTAAATATAATCACCATATCATCTTCTTTAGTTAGTTTCTTTTCTTTTAATATCGACATGTTACTGCTATCAATTTTGAATTTCTTCTTATGTGTATTATTATTTACTTGTTTGCCCTGAGGGGCCCCAAATTGGTATCAATAAATCTTATCTTATCTTATAAATGTTGTTGATATACAGTTCACTTTAGAAATCATAGAAGTTTCCCCTCATTAATTACGTGTGAGGACTTTTTAAAAATTCTTTTTTATTTTATCTTAATAAGGACATTTTGCTTGGTAGTGCCACCCAAACTGAAAATGTTTGGTTTTGCCCCACCCCAAAAACTGAAATTGCTTCCTACGAGCCTGTCATTTGTGTCATTACACGATCGTTAAATTATTAACGTTACCTATAATTTGTATTCAATGCATTGATGAATGTTAACAATTGGCGGATCTATAGGGAGGCGTCGAAGAATCCGGTTTGGACCCCCTGGGATTTTCAATCAAACTTCTGTGTAAAGTAACGAAAAATGACCTGACCTTCGACACCCCTCCCCCCTCAAGAAAACACGGACTCCTCGTAACGTGGAAAGGATATAGTAAAGAGAGCTATATATCTATAGAAAATTGACTTAAGAAATGACTTGACCTACCCCCCTCCTACCCCCAGTTATAACCGAAAGTTATAAGGAAGTTCACTTTATGAAATTATGAACATAGAAATATTTTACCCATGTCTACTTTATCGTGAATAATATCACTTTTAAAATTATTGTTTCAAAGAATGGTCATGACTTTTATACAATATCTTGCATACAATATCAAGCATACTTAAAAAAGAGATATACACACACTAATATATTACAATAATCTGTTGCATGTGAAACATACTCAGAGGGATGAAAAATTCTCTGTCAAAATCAATAGTGTACACGTATGTCGCTTAAAAACCATGTAAAAGAGTTTATATTATATACATGTATACATATACACCATTCCGCATGAATCAGTAATCAGCATGCCCAGGAATTTGCCGGTGGATAACTGTGATAAACCTCACAGCAATAAAAAGCGGAGGGAGCAAACAGAGTCAAAATGAAAATTTACATATTAAAGATACAGCAAAAGATCTCGACTTTACTCAGAAAAAAGCGCCCCACCCCGCGTACTACGGACCTGTGCACGGAAATCACTAAACACTGGTGTTTTAAAAACTAGTGAGGACTCAGTTACACACTACTTAGTATTATCATAACAGAATAACACATAATTGAAATGACATTTATTAAAACAATAGAAAAAAAAATGAAGTACTCTCTTTCAAAATAGAGGAACCAAATTAGTGTAGGTATCGGGCTAACATAAGGAATGTATCAATTTGATGTTTTGTATGGACTTTTTTTGGACCCTGTGAATTTAATTATCACGTCACAATGGATCTAAAAGTAAAAGAAGTACTGTAACTACTATAATGTCACATAATTGTGTCGCAATAACATTCATAACTTCATTACTTACCACTGCACTATGCTGAATTTGATGATATTGAAATACCCTGTACTTAGGTATTTGCAATTTTTTTAAGTTGCCAAACATGATATCTATGTGATAAATGATCCTTGTTATTTTTACTTTCAAGATTTATATTTTTAGGCGGGAGTCTCCAGACAAATATACGAAAGTGGTAGGAAGAATAGCTCACCAGGAGTTCAAGACAAAAATCGCCGAAAGATCGTCCCATCAGGTAACCAAACTTAACTGATCTTTTTTCCTCTTGCTATAATGAAGTAACCTTCCTTGCATTCTGAGAAATTTTCCAGGATTGTATTATTCCAAGAACAATATATTATTGAAATGAAACACTAGTATTTCCTGTATACCCCGTTTAATGCCCGTGTTTTGTAGTCTTGGTATGACAAATGGTACGACTCTGGTACTCCAAAACTTCGCAGAGAAGAACTTCCTAAACTGGTAGACCGACACGAACCCTGCAATCAACCGTGGCAATACACTATAGGCACCTCTGCTGTCCCACAGTGGACCAAAGAGGGCAAGGATTGGCCAATATCTAAAGCCTACCTCAACCAAGGTAAACCTGCCACGGAAACCACGCGTGCGCGAGGCATCAATCGTCTGTCATTGCCGAAGGAAGAAAATCTTTACCCGTTCTCCAATTATATGACGTCACAGTACAGGAAGCCTGTGTATTCTATATTTGGTCATCTACAAAAAGACAAAGTTTATGGAGTGACACATCAGCACAACAGGCATGGAAATATGCCGTTTGAGGATTACTATTGAAGCGAGGACGGTGCAAAAATAATAACTGAATTTTATATCTTATTAATATATTATATCAACCTTTTCATCCTTAGACAAAGTGTTGATACAATTTATGTAAAGTGTCTACAAAACTGTAATGCTTGTTTTTTTTTTTAAAACCTATTCTATATATACTGCTTTATTCATGCATTTTACATGTAATTTGAAATGTAGATGAACTTTTTTGTTTAGAAATATCTTAAATTCATGTTTGTTATGTTTAATGTATAATATCATTATGGGGAATGTGGCTTTGGTATGTTATTTAATTTTATTTTAGAAAATTTGTTTTAATAAAGTAATTGTTACGAGGGGCATTTAAAAAAGTTCTGAATATTGTTGATTAAATGTAGAGCGTTTAAGGGAAATTAATTTATTTATATCATTGAAAACATCGGGAAATATAGATGTAATTTGACGTCACAATTATTTTTGTGACGTAGGGACACCTGTTGACGTCATAATTCTGCGTGTTCAGTATACTGAAAATTGCTTTTTTGCCCACATGATGACATCAGAAGTTGAGCTTTAATAATGAGCTTCTTCATGAAGGCTTTTCCAAGAAATCTGGCATGAAGAGCTCGACCAGAACTAGCATGGTTAAGTAGCTTTTCCATATTTCTCTTACATGTACATGTCTGAGTGGTTTGCCAGATACATTGTCACGGAAGGATTTTTATTTCTCCGGTATCGCCTGGTGATTGCCGGTCTGTTATATTTTAGATAAAACATATCCTGTGTGAAACTGATCCATAACAATGAAATGATTTTGAATCGAAACTTGAGTAACAAGACTCTAAGCATAAATAAGTAAAACACAAATATATTTCAAAATCAAAAATAAGCTAATGCGTTTGACCTCGGAATGGAAAAAATAAATATGAGTTCCACGACAAAGTGCAATCTTATTTATTTGCAATGAGTCACAGTTTGGAAAGTCTCTCCTGAGTTTTAATACATAGTTCTCTTCAAATGGTTGAAAATTCTACAGATGGTCGTTAAAATGACCTTGTTTGCAAATACAGCCTATCATTAGGTTGTATTTTGACCCGGTCAGCATGTTTCATACACAATTGAGGAAATTGTTTTTAATACTAAATTTGACTACCGGTCAATAAGGGGAGCTTACTACTCCAACACGTCTGAAATTTTAAGGGGTCGGTGTTTTATGCCCTGTTAAAAAATTCGTAATGTTTAAAAGATTTTTGAGATCATCATTTTCCTTCACCTTCTTCATTGACACATTTGACAAATTAATGGAGGTTTCCTCCCCTGTCCTCCTGTCATCGTCACCATTTTCATTATTCATAGCGACAATTTTGTTTCAGCTCGAGCAGGCGCGGATCCAGGATTTTTTTTCCGGGGGGGGGGGGGGGTCCAACCCAGCGAAAAAAATTTCCAATCCAAAAATTTCTTGACAAGCCAAAAAGAAAGAAAAAACCCCGTAAAATCCATTTCCCAAACGTGAAAAACACGTATTTCGTTGTGGTGATGGTGGGGTCCACGTTTTCTAGGGGGGGGGGTCCAAAGTCATTTTTTTATTTGTTTCAATGTATACTTTTATATAACTCTGCAAATTCCGGGGGGGGGGGGGGTCCGGACCCCCCGACCACCTCTAGATCCGCGCATGTCGAGTTATGACAAAACGTGCCATTTTTGGCCTCTTAGAGCTGTTCATGTAATCTGATATTGCGACATGTGACTGAGATAAGTTTAAGTAAACTTCATCCAAACTGGCATTCTCTACCATCGGCTCATACATTCACCTCTGTCGTTGGCTCGCGTATATCACAGTGATAAGCACGAGAAATAGTGCGTTTCTTTTAATTCATTATAATTAAATGTCTGAGCTAATAATAGTCCTTAAAGATATATATTTACTAAATAGATCTAAAACTATTAGTTTAAGTTGAAATGATCCTTTAAATGTTATGTTTTTTACGGTACGTCAAAAATCTTGACTCGAGCCCATTGCAGAGGTGTCTGAGAGAGGAACGAAAGACAACTCTGCATAGGAGATTGCCAAACTGGTATTAAATCATCTCGGGTAACGTGCGTCCACCTTATACACAATTTTTTTTTCTTTCAACCTTTCCCTTGATAAAATATTTTTCTCTTTCTAGACTAGCTACGTACTGTACATATTCAGTCCTTCAGGCTCCGGGACCATAAAACTCAGACAAGGTAAATTTTGATCTCAGTCTCACTTTAACAAAAGGAATATGTAGTGGAAAAGTGAAACTGAGATCAAAAGTATATTTATTGAGCTCATCTAAGTTTTAAGGCCCAGGGGCATGGTCTATGATTCAGTATTCTGAACACACAATATTATGATATTATTTAAGGAGTCAATAGGCAAATAGATACTAATAATAAATACAAAAAACAAAACAAAACAAAACAAAACAAAAAAAAAAAAACAAAACAAAAACAAAAAACAAAACAATACAAAAAAAAAAAAAAAAAAAAAAAAAAAAAAAAAAAATAAAAAAATAAAATACATTTCAATTTTTTTTTTAAAAATGATATCAAAAACGTTTTTCATAATTATGCAGTTTTTCGATTATCTTAGTATCATTAGTAGTAATACTTACAAGGATATCTATCAAAGAAAGGAACTTAACAACCAAAAGAGGTTAAGGTGCTAGAAAAACCGACAAGGGCAGAGGCAGATGTATAGGGAGGGGATCAGGGGAATCTGCCCGGATTTTCATTTTTATGGAATAACATCTATAATCTATACTGAAAATAACTTCGAATCCTCCTCCAGAAATAATGAACCCTGACTCTCAGAGACAGTATGCCTTTTAATATCTCAGAAAATAAGTTCATTATTTCTGGAGGAGAATTCGAAGTTATTTTCTTGGATTACACAATTATACATTCCAGGATGGTGATTTTTCAAAGATTACTCCAGAGACATAACATAAAATAAATAATATTTTAATGTTATTTATTTTACTGGTTACACATGTTCATTATTTTGGGTAAAATATTAGATCTAGAAACGTACTTCTTTAGTAGCCAAGCCAGACAATATATCTAAAAAAAAAATACAATGAAATTTAAAGTATTTTGTGCTTTTGTAAAGGTATAAGAAGAGAGAGCAGTTAAATTAGATCGGGATCGACATTCGTTGAAACGTAAATATGGTGGAAGTGAATTCGTCAGGAGTATTTTGCGAATCAAATCAACATGGTTTTAGCATGAAAAATTGAGGCCATCGTTGCCAGTAAAAGAAATTGCATGTATATAGTTATGTAGATAAACATTGCATCATCAGATGAGGGATGTCGTTCTTCAGCAGAAGAAAGGGTAAGCGTTCAACACTAGGGTCAGTTATTTTATGTCTTGGAGGCGTATCTCCCGATCTCCATTTGTGATTAAAACTGTTGAAGGGGAAAAGTAGCCTTAGCTCGTAATAAATATGTGCTATTATGTAAGATTAATGATCTTTTATTCTTCTATAATTACAAAGTAGTTTCTCCTGTTTCGATTTGAATTATTTCATGTTCATATTTAAAACTAGTGAATTGTAATTTAAGCGACCATCTTCTTGTTTTTACAGATAAGAAAAGTGATCAACAGAAGACTGCAGAAACATCTTTGAAAAGAAATAATTCTCAAAGAAGTACTCAGAGCCTTAGAAAAGTAGAACTAGTAAATGGAGAAATAAGTGATGGTAGGCTTGAAACAAATGTCTTGAGAAAGCAGTACAGGTTACTCATCTTGAATGTTGATGTAATTGTATAATTTTTTTTTCAGAACAAGGAGGGTCATTTGAAGGGAGAAGTCACACAGGGCCAATACAGCTTTGTGTTGATGAAGATTATGATCCAGGAGATTTGGGTGAGTTGATATTAATCTGTTGAAGTTCTTAGTTCTAGGGTTATAGACCAGAAGACCTTATGCAGTGCTATATAGCATGAGTCATCCAACTGTCTGCCTGTTTGTTTATATGCAAACAGTTCCGGAAATTCTATACCTTTTTATTTCAAGAACACTTGGTACACAGTTGAAGTAGCATAGTCTTCAAGCATAGAACCAATGAATTCTTATTTTTGGAGTTTGGTTGTATAACAGCACCTAGTTGTGCCGACAAATTATCAATACTGAGTGTTAGCGTGGTATGATAATTTGTTACAGACAGGTGTTGTTGTACAAATGAGAACATCCAAAATAAGAATTCAATGCTTATAATTTTTTTTAATTTTCTCTCTTCATAAATGTTAATTTCATTCATCTTCATTATAAATTTAAGCGCCTTTCAGAACAGGTGTGGTTAATAGACTTAAAAGCAGTTTTGACATGGAATAACGCAAATGAAAAATGGAAGGGAAAAAAAAAAGACAAATCAATTTTAAATGTAAAATTGACACATTTTTATAACAATTTACTAGGGTACTTGTTTTTAATTAAATTGAGCCAATATTAATTTTGGTGTTCATGTTCCTAGTGTATTGAAAGTGTATTTGTAGTTCCTATTATGTATTCCACCGTGCCGTGACAAGGGTTGAATATTGTAGATTTCCAATGGATTTTATAAAGAAAATTACACTGAATGTAAATAAAGCTTTTTATATTAGTTCTTGATTTCAATCAATGGCATAAAATGACAAGTAGATTGCATCAAGATACATATTTGGATTATCAGATTTTGATTTTCATACCGGTAGGTATTGATGTCATGTTTACATATAAAAATTAAGTCAAAAGGCCACTTCTCTTTTACTGATTTAAATGAAACATGACACAAAATATAGACTACTTTATAATACACAAATCTCTGTGTTTGATGTGAATGAACATCGTTTACCTTGCTACTGTAATAGGTTTTCATACAACTACCAGTAGTAATATTCTATCTGTCTCAACCTGTCTGTTTTGAAGAAGTAGTGTTTTTATAATTTACTGTCAGACTATTTAAAATACAGAACAGAAAATTTATAAATACTTGTAAATTAATTGCTTCAAGTTTAAACCAGTAGAGCAACAGTATCATCACAGACTTCTAGCATTTGAATTCTCTCAAGCATTTCTGTTTCAAGTTTTGTTGTGTCAGTGTCATATTTCATTTATATATAAAGATAAGTTTTGTTTTGGAGATTTAGAAGATTTATTAAAATTCATGCATTTTCAAATTAACTTGTTTCCTATAATACATGTATTGTGATAGAACAGAGCCCCAGAAATGTAACATGCATGTGATGATTTCCCATGATATACATGTATTTCAAACATCTTTATTTTCAATTTTGCTAAATATAAATTATTTACCAACCATATTTATATATATAACACCATTCAGTATTTTTATAAACTTGACTGACTACTCTATCTAATACATGCATGTTTTACTTTGTTACATCTGAATTTATTTTGGATGTGGCACATTGTTATATACAGTATTTACTCGCATAACTTTTTTGTTTAAACTTTTCTATTTACAGGTGCAGTGATCAAGGCACCAACATCCCTTGTGAGACACTCCAAGCTTTCTAAAACCTTGGAGGAAATTCTCAAAGACAAGGATGCCTTGTCCTGTTTTATTGAATTCATGGAATCAAGGAAGGCTGGTCAGTACATCAAATTCTGGCTGGATGCCGAGAGCTTCCAGGCCTCCACTTGGAGTAGACTGAGGAGCCATTCCTTAAACTCCGCCAAGAGGTTAACATTATCTGGCAAACATTACCGATCACCCTCTGACACATCAGTCAGTGTTAAACAGGTGACAGAGGACAAACTGGACACTGAAAGTATTGGTTCTAACCAAACACTGACGGAGGAGACTTCATCTGGGATGGTGGAAAGTGAAAATCAAACCAATGGTGTGCCAACTAGGATCTCATCTGACACAGGCCAGTCAAGGTCCAAACTTGATTTACCAGGGTCAGAGTTAGAAACTGTGATAAAAGCCAAGCCATCAAGTCTCCCAGTAACACCTATAGATCCCGGGGCCAAGCACCTACCAGGATCCTCAGGCCCTGACTGTGATATCAGAGACAGTATGGAGTGTAGACTTAGTGATGCTGTATCAACTAGTGCAATCAAGAGAACTGAAAGTCTCAAAAAGACTAATTATCCTCTGGAGGAACTTGCCGATAAACTCAAGAAAAGTATGAATCCCCATTCTATGGTTTTTGTATACTTTGGAATTATTTTAATTCCTGTGGTTCAATGTTCATGGGCAATCAAAATTGTACTTGTTTGTGGGGATGTAATGTGGGTTACTCGTTTATATGGTAGATTCAGTGAATCAATATGTTTACAAAATAAATGTTCATGGGAATGTGAATTCATGGGTAAGGGTGACCCATGAAATCCATGAACATTGGACCCCCACAAACAATGACGATTCTACAGTATATTGTAAACTTCAGAACTCGCCTCCAATTCTAAATTTAACAACAAAAGAATACTTAATATATATATATATATATATATATATATATATATATATATATATATATATATACTAGTATATATATATACATATATGTATATAGAATAGTTTCAAGGATAAATATTCTATCCACATGCACACTGTTCATGTATGTATAAGTAAAATATGTATGTACATGTATATGTAAAATCAGAATGATTTTGTTAGGCATTGCCAGGGATGCAGTGAGCATCTTCCAGAAATATCTATCTCATGATGCCTCTAGTCCTGTAGAGATCACAGATGAACTCAGGAACCGATGCATGGGTATTTGTGTTATTTATTAATATTGAAAATTGCTTAGTTTAAATGTCAATACTTTTACATAATTGTTATCTTAGACACTAATTAGCATATACGAGGGGTTATCAAAAAGTTCACGGACTGGCACCTTAAAATTAAAACCGCTCTACTTACCTAAATGAATTTTTACACATTTAGTAAGCATCATCTTTTCTATCTATAGAATAAACCATAAATCATAAGTATTATTTTTTAAATAAATTTTTAATGTTTTTGTAAGCAATGGTATGTCCAGGCGGCGCAACCTCAATTATGACGCTTTTCCTACCTGAGTGTAACTGAGAAAAACTCTTTAAATATGAACATTTGTCGTCAGAAAACCCCGTTAATTCAGACATATAGTACGACACAATTGTTCCGTAAAATTTGCAATATTTACCCCATTCTGTAAGTTCTATGAAATTTTATCATGAATTTCATATGGAGTGTCCCAAAAATTAAGGGATTGAAAATGACGTCAAAAAGGGGGAGGGGTTTCTTTTCCCAACATTCTATAAAGTGTCGCTACTGGAAAAACTGGTATAGATTTAGGGAATGTTTAAACGGGCTACAGAAAAATTAAATGCATTCAGAGTACTTGTTTTTAAATGCCCAAAAAGATTCAGAGAGATGGAAGATGCACAGATAGTGTTGATTTGTAGTCAGGGTGTCAAAAGTCAGTCACGTCGAAAAGTGACGTTGATCATGTGTGGAAGAAATTGAACTCCAACAAGCTAAGTATTCTGGCTTAATCAAGGATCGTTCCCTATGTATAGATCCATTTACAATACTATATGCATTGCAAGCAGCTGCTAATGAGATTGTAAAGTCATATAAAGAAGAGGGCTTAAGTCCTTACTTAACTCCAGGTAATCTCATCAAGATAAGTGTACGAGGTAAAGAGAGCAGACATTGAGAAACAAATGACGTTGAGTCTAAATGGCGACAGCGCCAGGTGATCATATGTTTTTTTTTTTATTTTAGAATAATTTGTCAAATTATCAAGATATCAAGCTAAAATTTTTGAACATTTCTTAAACTTTGTTGTTTTATGTTCCTTATAAATTTTGTAAGCATAGACTACATAGTATTTATTTTATCGCATCAGTCCACGAACTTTTTGATAACCCCTCGTACATGTAAAAAGTCCAGAATGTATTTAATACTGTGGATTTTTAACCATTAACCTTGTTAGTTATATCATTTTGCCAACAGTGTAATTAGGAAAGCCATCATTTAAATACATGTATTATGCATTATTTTTTTAAAAAGCATAAATAGCAAAGAATTGGTCAATGGATGTTTATCTGTTTATGCAGATTCTTTGACTAAATGTATATTATTACATGACCTCAGATTCTTGATTTTTATGTCATTTTACCTTAGAAATACACTGGAGATAATGTAAATGTATCAATGACTAAAAATCCATGTGAATTTATTGGCCTGTTTTTTTGCTTATTTATAGTATACCATGTTAATCAACTTTAGCATGCTTCATCTATTAATAGCTATGAGATGTACCATGCATTTTTTTCTGATTTCAGCCAAAATTTGCCGAGAGGATGGAGAAGTAGATCCAGGGTGTTTTGCAGACTGCCAGGAATTTGTACTGAATGTCATTAGAATAGAGTAAGTTTCAGTGTAACAGGGATGTGACTATACAGAGATCATTGAGGCATTGTATATACATGTAGTTAAAGCATTTTGTTTAACTTTTTATAAAAATATATGATGTTGATTAGAATTACAGACATGAAATGTTTGCATGATCTAAATATACTTCTTTCATTGAGCTTTTTAAAACATTTTGTGGATTTGTCATTTTGTATTGTGTATATAAGCATATAAAAATTGGAGGCAACTTTTTATTTCACTCTGTGAAATACACATACTTGAGAAGCATTATATTTATTCTTATATAGCCTGATATAACAGTGGACAAGTGTAATGTTTTGTTGTTGCAGTCACTTTCCTGATTTCTCCACAAGCGAATTTCTCTGTAAACACCAGGTTCATCTTCTCACCAAAGGGCAGATCACTCTATCTGACATCCTGTACAATGATGGTGCAATGTTTTACTTTATGGAAGTATGTATTTAAATTTATACATTTTTCTCTCTTTGAAGTGTATTGCACTTGATGCTTGAAAATTAAGACAACCCAAAAACTTGGACAATATTCTGGTGCATTATATGATATGTTTTAAGTATTTAAAGGTGCTTGGACACAGATTTGAAGTTAATATTTTCTCAAATTTTATGTATAATTTCATGACTTATATGTTGCTATAGCATTTCATACTAAAATATAATAAAAATCTTATTTCATCTCGAAGATATTGAAACTTCAAATTCCTGGACGCGTTTGATTGACACATCTTTGCACTTTCACAAATTTTAATTTAGTTCTTAATACTTAGTGGCAATTTTGTTGTGTATTAATGAAAAATATTAAAACTATAATCCAGAAAATTCAGAGTAGAAATGTTCGAAAGCAAAACCCACTCACAGTATTGTCAGTCCGTGCTCAGTGGTGTGTGCAGACTTTAACAATTGAACACACCCGGTGAATTGAAAACATTAACAATAACAGAGCTCGTGCCCTGTTTACAACAACAGTTTACGTTTCACGGGTGTATTCAATTTGATAAACTCTGTACTCAACACTGAGCACGGGCTGACGATATTAGCGAAGGGGTTTGCTTTCGCACATTTCTACTCTGAATTTTCTGGATTATAGATGTAATGTTTTTCATTAATACACAACAAAATCTCTTCTTTTCAAAAATATTAAGGATAAAGATAAAATTTGTGAAAGTGCAAGGATGTGTTAATCAAACGCGTCCAGGAATTCGTAGTTCAAATAATTTCCAGATAAATTAGGTTTTTAATTATATTTTTGTGTGAAATGCTATTGCAATATGTAAGTCGTGATATTATACATAACATTTGAGGAACTATTAACTTCAAATCTGTGTCCAAGCACCTTTAAGGCTGACAACACATTCCTCAGTAATGTATATAAATTTTTGCAAGAATTTGTAATACAATTGTGTATGTATTGCTACTTCAACAAGTTTCCTCACAAAAAATTTAGGTACATTACCAGGCATTTGTGCAAGATTGCAGAGGTTAAAATTTCTACATACATGTAACCCTATTGGAAATTTTTTGATTTCTAATGTCACAGTTTTTTTTCTTCAGACATTTGAAACCAGATTAGAAATTAAAAAAAATGATACTAATAAAACATGCATTGAGTATATTTCAAAGAAATACAGACAAGGTATTCGAGGAATGTGTCATCGGACCTTAAGTATCTTATACGTTTTAATCTAAGCTGATAATTATAATCAGACAAATAGAAAAGTATGAGTTCTTTTTGGTTCTGAAGCCTATGTAATTGCAATAAAAATATAAAATGAATATTTCGTGAAAAATATCATAACTACTGTATCATGATACATGTATCAAATAGGATAATACTTGTATCCTCCTAGCTTATCAAGGTGTCATTTGATATAGATTTTAGAAGGAAGTTCTTATAATATTCCTGATTGACTTTGTAGTACATGGAACAGGAGGGGGGATCTGAACTTCTCCAGTTCTGGTTGGCTGTGGACAATTTCTGGCAGCACCTTATGTCGTGTGAGGGCACCTACGATGGCATGCAGGCCCAGAGTGATGCCATGGTCCTGTATGACAAGTATGTACCTGGGATATACACAACAGAATACCCGCTATGTATGAAATGGAAATATGTTGTAACATTTGAAGTTTCTCTTGGTGTTCCAGATATTTTTCTCTACAAGCCTCCCACCCCTTGGGATTCGATGATAAAACTCGATTTGTAGTGGAGGGAAATATTTGTCGTGAAGAGGGCCCTCTCCCAGATTGTTTTTCCAAAACCCAGCACATCGTTTATCGCACAATGGAAAAGGTACGTTGATAGCATTCCAGAGTGTTAAAGTGTGTGTCTTTTTTAATAGGGAGTATTGATATAAATTGAAATGTAGCGTCGTGGTTAAAATTATGGCATAAGGAAAAGATAGGTAACAAGTGTCATCGTTTGAAGTATTCTCTTTATTGATTTCTTTCAGTCCTTTTTCCCAAGTTTTTTACAAAGTGAAATATACTACAAATATTTATCAGAGCTAGTCAGCACAGTAACCATAGCAACAGATTTACCAAAACAAACCAGACACAAAAGACAGGGTAAAACGGTTTTCTTGTGCAGTATGTCATCATTTCTATTTGACTATCTAGGACACTGCTTGATGAAAGCTAATACATTCTGATACTTTTACTTATTACAGACAGCGATGCCACGTCTGTACACAGTGGCCAGAGCATTGGGAGTGAGAGCATCAAGAACACTCTGTTAGCCATGGACACCAGTCACCTACGCAAGTCTGTCTCCCCCCTCCAGGAAAGTGACATGAATGTTGACCCTCGTCTCCTCAATCCTGAACTTCTCTGGAAAAGACAAAGTCCAGGGTAAAATTTATATCTTTCTTGCTGGTGTTTATTCTGTAAAAGTAGAGATATACTATTTGTGTTTCTAAGAAAAAGGATGTTTTATTAAAAAAAAAAAAATGGATCTTAAATTTGTGTATTTCAGGATGTCCATGGGTAAAGTGGATGAGCTTGGTAGATTTATGTCTGAATTGGATCCTCAGCCAGAAATTGATAAAGTCAAAGGTAGGTATAATTGTGTAAATAAGTATATCTATAGCTTAAGATTATAGTTTACATTTGATATGGCTTTCTTCATGAGTATGAACCTACATGTAGTTTGAATGTTTTGTTTCTCAAGGATATGCATATTGAACAAGATGTAGCATCTAATTGAGAATCAGCTCAGATTAAATAGTGATTATATTTTTAGCTCACCTCGACGAAGTCGAGATGAGCTTATGCTATACCCCCGGCGTCGGCGTCGGCGTCGGTGTCGGCGTCGGCGTTAGCGTCGGCGTCCCAGGTTAAAGTTTTAGGAGCAAGTCCCATTCCCATGTAACTATAAGCCCTACCTGGACCAAACTTGCATGGATGATGCATCTAGGGATGGACACTACCACACTAGCTTCGGATGCTGGATCTGACCTAGATTTTCCGGATGAGTGACCAGGTTAAAGTTTTAGGAGCAGGTCCATTCCCAAGTAACTATAAGCCCTACCTGGACCAAACTTGCATGGATGATGCATCTAGGGATGGACACTACCACACTTGCTTCGGATGCTGGATCTGACCTAGATTTTCCGGATGAGTGACCAGGTTAAAGTTTTAGGAGCAAGTCCCATTCCCAAGTAACTATAAGCCCTACCTGGACCAAACTTGCATGGATGATGCATCTAGGGATGGACACTACCACACTTGCTTCGGATGCTGGATCTGACCTAGATTTTCCAGATGAGTGACCAGGTTAAAGTTTTAGGAGCAGGTCCATTCCCAAGTAACTATAAGCCCTACCTGGACCAAACTTGCATGGATGATGCATCTAGGGATGGACACTACCACACTTGCTTCGGATGCTGGATCTGACCTAGATTTTCCAGATGAGTGACCAGGTTAAAGTTTTAGGAGCAGGTCCATTCCCAAGTAACTATAAGCCCTACCTGGACCAAACTTGCATGGATGATGCATCTAGGGATGGACACTACCACACTTACTTCAGATGCTGGATCTGATGTAGATTTTCCAGATGTGTACCAGGTTAAAGTTTTAGGAGCAGGTCCATTCCCAAGTAACTATAAGCCCTACCTGGACCAAACTTGCATGGATGATGCATCTAGGGATGGACACTACCACACTTGCTTCGGATGCTGGATCTGACCTAGATTTTCCGGATGAGTGACCAGGTTAAAGTTTTAGGAGCAGGTCCATTCCAAAGTAACTCTAAGCCCTACCTTGACCAAACTTGCATGGATGATGCATCCAGGGATGGACACTACCACACTTGCTTCGGATGCTGGATCTGACCTAGATTTTCCACATGTGAGACCAGGTTTAGATTTAGGAGTAGTCTCGTTCCCAAGTAACTATAAGCCCTACCTGGTCCAAACTTTCATGGATGATGCATCTAGGGATGTACACTAACCAATCTGCTTCGAATGCTGGATCTGACCTAGATTTTCCACATGAGTGAATTTTAGCCATATTTTAACCAAATTAGCATGGATGATGTATCTAGGGATGGATACTTCCAGACTTGCCTTGGATTCTGAATCTGACGTACATTTTCCAGATGAGTGACCAGGGTAATTTTTTGGAGTAGCTATATAATATTATGGCCTGTTATGATAAAACTTGCATAGATGGTGCATCTAAGGATGAAAACTTCCAGACTTGCTTTGGATGTTGGAACTGACCAAAATTTTCTTGATTACTAAACAGGTCAAAAGTTTTTTGAGCAGATCTATAATTAAATCAAACTTGCATGGATATTGATCTTGGGATGTACCCTAACTAGAAAAAAAATATGATGTGAAATTTGCCTTACATGTAGATAACATTCGTCGAGGTGAGCTTCGTAATCTTTGATTACCTATGTTTCTAATAATATTAATAATATTAATTCAGTGCAATACTTTATCAAAAGTTCATCCTTGTCTTAGAAAATGTAGAAAAATAATTCTTACAGGCAACCAAGGATTTTTCAAGAAAAGAAAAGGCAAGGACAAGGTGAGTTTTCATAGTTTAGGGAAAGAGCACATTCCTAGGTCCAATAATCACACAGGTGGTTAAATTTAACCCCCCCCCCCCCCCCCCCCCCCTTCAAAGAAATGGAAAGATTGGAAGTCAACAGTTACTAAGACTGATGTCTGCTAAAAGAAGGGAAAAATCTGCATTACTCAAGGTAATCTTACAAATAAGTTTATGTTTGTAAAATCAGTTCTGTAATTTTGAGAAGACTGGTATGTATTTTCAGTGGTGATTTTAATAATTATCCATGTCTGGCCAAAAAATAATAGTGATATGAGGTATTACATATCTGAAAATGATATATATTAGGCAGAACTTATGCTAATTGTAGAGAACATGAATCTACAGGTTGGGTTATTTGGAGATCTTGTTACCTGTCTATGAGGTCCCTTCAAAAATTATGCGGACTTGTTGCATAGAAAAAAATATTTGCTGACAAAATCGAGCAGAAGTCTAGATTAGAGGACATGGATCTGCAGATTGGGTGAATGGGGGATCTTGTTACCTGTATGATGTAGCAGTGTTTGATTGAGAGGACTTGAATCAGCAGGTTGGGTGAATGGGGTATCTTGTTACCTGTCTGTGTATGATGATATGAATTTAATTGTAGGAACAAGAAGACATGGCTCTACAGATTGCCCAGAAGATAATCAGTGACGTCACCTCTGTAACTCAGGCTATTGGTGCTATGCAAACCTTTGATCCACCACCAGATTCCTAATTCTCATCAGTCACTATTAATCGTGCAATACCTTGTTTTTTATTGGTCAATATGTTAAGGTTTTAATATTTTTTTATGTCCCTGCCAGGAAATGGTCAGGGAATATAGTGCTACTCCTTTCTGTCTGTCATTCCCTCATTCAATCATATCAGCATAGTTTTCAGGACCTTTCTTTTGGCTGTGCTTGTAGATAATGAGCAGATTTTTAGTCTCTCTTTGTTGATGCCGTAGAGGTCAGATCTGAGTTTTATGTCAATTGACCCATTTTCAAGAAAGTAATTGCCCTCAGACTTTGAAAAATTTGATATAATTGTTTTTTTCCCTTGATTTTCTATTCTGTTGTTTGTTGGTAATTAGCTGATGTCTACTGTATATAAATATATTGATGATGTGTACATATCAAGTTAAAGTATCTCCTTAGAGGACCCATTTGCAAAATAGTGTTAGCCTTTAAATTTGAAAATTTCTAAATTCACTGTTCTTATTTTCACCAAAGTTATCATTCTTGACTTATAAATTGGCAGTGCTTTCTTTATTTCACAGACATTAATGAAAGTACAATAATGAAAAAAAAAGAAAGAAATGAAATTGTTTTTAGCAATCTGTATGAAATAAGTCAAAGAAGATGGGCGAACAAGGGAGCGAAGTGCCTATAGTGTGACAAACATGAAGGTGAAAAATTATTTCTCAATTATAACAAAATTTTCTTTGATATTTCATCTAACATTAAAGTATACTTTACGTAAAATCTCCACAATTTGCAAAAATCTCAAAAGAATTGAAATTATTTGCCTTCTAAATAGTATACACACACTAAAGGGGGCAAAAAAGGATCATTTTTTCATACTTTAACACAATTTTTCAATATGAGTGGGTCTTGGCTCCATTTTTTAAAAAGTTTATCCTCAAAATTTGCGTAAAAATATACATTTTTTGGTTAACAAAAACATGGAACAAAGACCCACTATACCATAAAAATACACTTTTATGACACAATATTCGCATCTTCAAGAAATACTTCAAGTCCATTCAGTCAAGGGTCATATCAGAAACATGATTTAAATGCCACCATTCATCAGGAGCTATGTAGCATAGTGGTTAGCACATTAGTCTCAAAGGAAAATGATACACATGATTTTTATTGCTAGGGTTGGAACCCCACAAATACCATATATTTTTTTAAATAACAGAATAGTTTTTTTGGGGGGGGGGGGATTTTTCTCAGAAAAGTTTTGTCTGTCATAATTTCATAAATTTCAAGAAAGAGAACTTTTCTCTAAATATTAAATTCACAAATTGAATATGATTTTTAGCTCACCTGAGCTGAAAGCTCAAGTGAGCTTTTCTGATCACATTTTGTCCGTAGTCCGTCTGTCCGTCCGTCCGTCTGTAAACTTTTCACATTTTCGACTTCTTCTCCAGAACCACTGGGCCAATTTCAACCAAACTTGCCACAAAGCATCCTTGGGTGAAGGGGGTTCAAGTTTGTTCAAATGAAGGGCCATGCCCTCTTCCAAGGGGAGATAATTAAGAATAAGTGAAAATTTGGTGTCTTCTTTTAAAAATCTTCTTCTCAAGAACCACAGGGCCAGAAAAGTTGAAACTTATGGGAAACCTTCGTTACATAGTGTAGATTCAAGTTTGTTCAAATCATGACCCCCGGGGGTAGGGTGGGGCCACAATGGGGGATCAAAGTTTTACATAGGAATACATAGGAAAATTCTTTAAAAATCTTCTTCTCAAGAACAACAAAGCCAAAATTAGTCATATTGATATGAAATCATCCTCAGGTAGTGTAGATTCAAGTTTGTCCAAATCATGACCCCTGGGGGTAGGGAGGGGCCACAATGGGGGATCAAAGTTTCACATAGGAATATATAGGAAAATTCTTTAAAAATCTTCTTCTCAAGAACAACAAAGCCACAATTAGTCATATTGATATGAAATCATCCTCAGAGTAGTGTAGATTAAGTTTGTTCAAATCATGACCCCCGGGGGTAGGGTGGGTCCACAATAGGAGATCAAAGTTTTACATAGGAATACATAGGAAAATTCTTTAAAAATCTTCTTCTCAAGAACAACAAAGCCACAATTAGTCATATTGATATGGAATCATCCTTAGATAGTGTAGACTCAAATTTGTCGAAATCAAGACCCCCAGGGGTAGGGTGGGGCCACAATGGGGGATCAAAGTTTTACATAGGAATAAATAGGAAAAATCTTTTCAAGAACAGGAAAGCCGTGATTAGTCATTTTGATATTGAAGCATCCCCAAGTATTGTAGATTCAAGTTTGTTCAAGGCATCCTCCAGTAGTAGGGTGGGGCCATAATCGGGGATCAAAGTTTAACAAAAGAATATATTATAAGAAATATCTTAAAAAATCTTCTTCTCAAGAACAACAAAGCCATAATTAGTCATATTGATATGGAAGCATCCTTAGGTAGTGTAGATTCAAGTTTGTTCAAATCTTGAACCCCCCTCCCTTCCTCCCCCCCAGGGTAGGATGGCAGACATCTTTAAAATTCCGTTTCAAGAATAGCAAAACCATGATTAGTTATATGAATATAGAAGCATCCTCAGAAAGTTTAGATTCAATTTCATTCAAAACATGGCAACTGGGGATAGGTTATGCCTAGAACAGTTGATCAAAGCTTTACGTATGAATATATAGAAGAAGAAATCTGCTGACAAAGAACAGCAGGGCCATATTGACTCAGGTGAGTGTTGTGGCCCATGGGCCTCTTGTTACATATCTGAAGCTATAGGCATTCTGCTCACCTTGTTCACCCATCTTTTGTTACAAAGACTAAAACTCACCTAAATTTCATGAATGAACAGTGTTGCATTGGATGAAATATCATTTAAAATTAATTAAAAATTGTGTTTGAAAATATGTTGGGTTGTTTCTCCAAATATCATAAATCATATAGGCCTGGTCATGTTGAGGTAAGAATTGATTAGAATTGAATTAAAGCATGAAAAATAATGAATAATTATTATGAATTATGAATAATTACTATAGAAAAAGAATAACTGAATGATCCTTTTTCTAAACTTTGTAAAAAAGCTTACAGATTGAACACTATTGCAGTGCTCTTGACCATTAATAAGAGGTATTTACAACTGTTTTAAGAAAACAAAACAGATAATGTGATATTCTATTTTTGTGTCATTTCCACCCATTATTACTATTTGCACATTCTTAGACTTTCTCATATTTAAAATTTGAAAGTCAGCGGGGGCATAAGTGTCATACAGACTCATTTATTCTAGGAATATTTAGTTTCTTGAACAGGAGTTTTTTGAAATTCTGAACCAATATTGATTTGTTGTTAAATTGTGGCAGAAAGATAAGACAGATAATTTTGTTTTATTTAGTGTGTGAAAGTTTAGTATTTAAGAATGTTTTCTAGCATCATAAAAATGAAACTACTAGTAAATGGAGCAATGTTATACTTTATTTGTCTTTGTACGCAACCAAGACTTTGTATAGAGACACTTATGATATTTTCAATCCAAAAAATATTAAATCCCCTCCTATGAGTAATTATTGGTTAATTATGTCCCATGAAGTATTGTCAGATTCATGGACATGTTTTACATTTACAAGAGTTATTACCCTCTGAGGGGTAAAGTGAAAGGCACCGTTTTCCATCTATTACTTTATGGTGCAATGTCTGACAAATGAAGTCTAAATGATTTTGTTTGTTTGTTTGTTTGTTTTTTTTTTTTGGGGGGGGGGGGGGGTGTTTCTATTATGCCAATATAGGAATGGTAGAAAATTCTCCAAAAACATTTGAAGGTTTAAGATATACATGTAAGTTACAGAGGATTTTGTGAGGTGAGTTTGTTATGCTGACAAAGGGAGGTAACATTTAAAAATGTGAATGATGCCTATTCTTTATTTGTTTTGCATGAGAGTGGTTTATTTAATGCACATAATTAAGAAAAAAATCCATTCTACTTCAAACTTCCAGATCTAAGAAAAACACCTTCCCCCATATTTTTAAATGTCAAGGCAAATGAGGTTGAATTTGATAATTTTTACGTTTGATTAAATGTAAATTTCAAATAATTTAAAAATGAATGTGTCAAGCATAAATATGATGAACACCTACATATTTAATGTCATATTAGTGGAAAATTATCTTTTCTTGTATTTCTTCTGTGTAATTTGGAGATTATGAAGCCAAACATATTGCCTTATTTGATGGTTTTTGTTGTTAAATATATCAATTTTAATTATAAAGATCACTCTATACTTGTTAAATAGCAGTATAACTTGTGCAGCTATTATATGAATGGATGGAGTGTTAATTAGTTTTAATGAGAATTAACCTGTGGGTGCCAAATCAGAATGTATTTTTCTACACAACTTGCTGTTAGCAGACTTTGTACATGTAAGCTGAGACTTTGTAAGCCGAGATAAAGGCTTTGACTGATAAGTACAAACCTGAATGGGCAGTTTCCTGTTAATGTTAGCATTATTGTTGTTTGCTGATCTTTTACAAAAGTTAATTTTTTGTGAATCAAAATGACTGAAAATACTATAATAAAGTCTATATTCTACTTCATATTCTACATAGACAGTTAAAAGTATTGTCCTTGTACAGCTGTACATGATGATAGTTAATTGGGAATATCCGTCTTATTGAGATTCTTTAAAAAAAAACCTTTCCACATAATTTTTACTAATACAGAGGAGTTATAACCACTTTTTGGCAAACTTTTAGCAGACCTTGGCAATTTATGGCACCTTTAGGTTGCTATTTGATACAATGTACCATTGCATACATGTTTTGATATTTGGAACTTTCTAATTGCAATGCAAACATGGTAACTCAGCTACAGATGTTAGTGGAAGGTCAAGAGTTCGGATCTCACCTGGAACATATAGAGATGCTAAAAATAAAATAGGAAGGGACTTTTTCTTATATATCCAGTATTAAATCAAATAATAAACATTAGAGACCTTTAAATCATTTGGACTTTATATTTCTTGGTTTAGTACATGCAAGTACATGTACTTGTATTCTTTTTTGTTTTAAGCTGGCAGTCTAGCTTTCCATGCTTCTAAAAAGGAAGGCTCTACAACATAAATATAAACTAAGAACATTAGAGGCTAGGAAGTATTCCTCACATAAAATCAATTTAATTTTGAGGTTACGTGTTTAGGTGGCCCTGTGAATCAGAATTTATCAAGAACCAGCATGGTATTTTTTGTACCTTGACACCCATAGCAAAGTTATATAATTTTTAAATAAACTATTGTATCAAAGGTAACCGAAATATTTTCTGAATGCAATAATAAAATGTTAAGGCTCGTCAACCCTCTGATAAGAGAGGTAACTCTCTGGGATTAATTACTTACCCCTTTATAATTTTTTTCTCAGTTAACCAACCATTTCTATCAAATTTTGCCTCTCAAGGTTTGCTGAAATTATGCGTATTTTAAATTAGGTAAGATTTCTTTTGGAAAATTTATCGCCCTAAAGCAGACTTTTTATTTATGAATGATCAGATGAATGATGAGTCGTATTCAGTATTACATATTGTATCTTAGTGTGAAATGAGTATTGAATTTTTCAGTTTTTGTGGCGAAATATTGTATTTTAAACCAGTATTCAATTTCATCCTTGATAAGTTGCTACACCAAGAAACACATTAAGTTTTTTTTTTTATTCCAAATCTTCATTTGCTCCGGAAATATTTTTAAAATTATACTATTATTTTCAAAAAGTATTGTCACCCGCTTGGCGCAGTAGTAGAGCGTCTGCTCTAGAGTCGCGGAGTAATGAGTTAATCTTTACATCGCGGGTTCGAATCCCACTGGGGGAGGTGGAGACCGGTCCTTCGGATGAGACCGAGGTCCCGTGCCGCAGTAGATGCTGGCACGAAAAAGATCCCTCACTGCTCAATGGCCCTGAGTGCCGAGTATAGGTCAAAATTTGCAGCTCTCCACGTCAAGTGGTGGTATCTCCATATGAGTGAAAAATTCTCGAGAGGGACGTTAAGCAAACAAAAAGTATTAATCTTAGACGACTTGTGCATTTGATGAATTCTGAAGACTAAGCATTTATTGTGATGAAGCAAATTTTAGTAATACTAGTACATGATCTTTAATCTCTTATTTAGATTACATCTAATCAGCAGAGGGTATGTACTGCCCTTGGAATAAATATATGGAAATGATGAAAAGTCTTCAATTACCTTTATCCTAAAACGTTTATACAATACCTTACCATGCCCAGCCTTTGCACTCCTCTATTTTCGTTGAGTTATTTATGATATTTCCATGTTACCTAACAGAACTGATCTGAAGGTAGAATACGAACACTACATTAGAGTCCAATTCACGGACACCCAGAAGACCCAAAGCAGTTTGAATGATGATGACAAAAGATTGTTCTGTACATTTATAACTCACATTGAACATTGACTATGGCATTTTTTAAATTTATTTATTTATTTTAAAAGCCCATTAAAATTGATTCTTTGACCTACATTTACAAGGAAGCAAAATTTAAAATAAGGAGGTAAAATGAAAAACAAGGCTTCCAGGTTCAAGGGGTGGGGTGGGGGTGAGATTTGGGAGGATCGGGTTAGGGTTTGAAAAAAAAATGCATAGACTCACCTACGTGTAGGGCCTAGCAGAATTCTACCGTAAGTGACAATAAATCAAAAACGTAATGAGGGAATCTCGATACGTCACTATTACCTTAGGAGGGAAGCAGTATAAACCTTACAATCTAAGTGATTCGGTGTCAAGAGATACCTTTGAAGTTCAGGGGAATATAATATCCTAAATCAAAGTTGGTCAAGTACTGACACATCTCTTGAAGTATTAAAATGTCACTGGTTGAACATGTATCTTCAACATATCTCAAATATTGTGGTTTTGTTTGTGTGTGTGTGTTTACAAATCAAATTAACTTTACAAAAGGTATGCATGTCTAACATAACTGAACAAATATTTCAAAGGAATGAATAGATGTTTACCTTTGAACTAAGTAAAGTAAGATGACTGTTATGAAGTTTATGCATTGTCCACGTGGGAGAATTATGAGGATTATTTGAACATGAATCCCTTTAAAACTTACCACAAAATGGCACAAATAGTTCCAAATTGTAATTTTCTTAATTTTTAAATTACTAATTCTATATTGCCATGATTGGTAAAGTTGTAAAAAGGTCAAAATATGTTGATAAAAGGTTTGGCTGACACTGACAATGTGGAAACATGTCAACGAGAATCTGACCAATGAGAAGGCTCTAGGAAGGTTTCTAATCGGGACTTCTCTAATCTTATCAAGGAGTTTCGAAAAAAGTTAAGAAACATATACCACGTGAATATATATATATATATATATATATATATATATATATATAAGAGTACTGTATTTGAAATTAACACACGGAAAGCGTCAACATTAGTCCTTTATCTTGGGGGGAATGGATATCTGGAATTGACCCTGATTTGATACACTAAATAAATTAATGATTATCATTTAAATCTACATTATACCTACTCAAGTAATATCTAGGATAAAATGCAAAAAAATTTCTCATGATTTTAGCATACTTCCTAACACTGTCTGACATAACGAACAAATTAGTATCGATAATGGCTCTCAAATCTTAAAACCTAGCGCAGGAGATGAATATTTCAAGGTTTTCCATTTGAAAAAGAGAAGGCATATGGTCTCTTGTTCAAAGATTCTCCGTACGGGATATTAATCTATAATTAACTATTATTAAGAAATCTAAAAATATAAGCTCATTAGAAACCTTGTTTTATACAATCGTGTACGTAATATGTTCTGAAAAGTTTCCCTTTGTTCACCTTGCTTATTTGGTATACTTAGAGAGAAGCAAAAATTAATCCTCTTGATAAAAGTGCATGTGGGATTGATTCAGCTTGGTTCTGATAAACTGTATAAACTTAAGATAACCTTTTTTCTAATTTTCTAGACAAGGAAGTAGAAAGTAGGACATTTGAGGTCACTCTGTGTTTGTATGGTCAGTGAATGAGACCTCCACCCGTCTTTATCAAATTAAGGTCCAATCTTTTCTTACTACAGTAATTTGATTGAAATGAAAACCAGTGAGTAGTTTAAAGTTTTTATAATAAAAAGATTAGTCTTCTGATGAAGTACAAGATGGATACATGCAAATCTTCTGATGAAGAAGAAGGACAGGGTTAAGGTGACTCAGGTGAGATTTGTGGCCCACGAGCCGCTTAGTATTTATTTCTTCCCCTCTAAAATACAAATGATTTTCAGAACTTTTGGCAAGAAAAAGCAAAAGTATACTTTATTGTAGTACATGCTGCAAAAGATCAGTATACAGAACTTTCCTTTATCTCCTTACATATAAAATAAACGTATTGAAATAAAGAGTATTCAGCAAAGCAAATAATTCTGTGACATTCCAATCTGATGTAAAAAATCCCCCAAAACTTTATATTTATACATGTGATTGCATTGCTTTCATATTTAAAAGTTTTCTTACTAGATATATATTCAAAGTATCTTTTTCTTGATAATTCATGTTGCTAAACTGTTGCTGTCCACCTATTCTCAGTGAAGAGTTTCCTAAATTGTTTAGTGATTGGATAATGCCGTGTTTGCTTTACAAATAACCCCAAAAGGAGACAAATTTATATTCCCAGATATAGAACGTAGTTCAAGATGCTATAAATAGACCAAACATAATACATCAGAGTGAAGGGGGATTTTTTAAACCTGATATAAGGGATCTTGGAACACGAATGTCAAGAAGAAATTAATTACTTGTCTCAAATACAGGTAGAAAAATTAAACGCTGAAATCTATATAAGAGTATGCAAACAGCCTAGCATGTTTATCTCTATGAAAATTGAACATAGAAAATGATCAAAAGCAGAGAAATAACGTTATCGGTGATTTGGATTTTAACGACACCAGTTGTGTCAAATGGAAGTGCTCCAGTCGGTTTCTTTAAATGGCAAGATCCTGAAAATAGTCGTACCGATCTATTTTGTCCAACATCTTGTAAGCATGACTTTTGTGATTTAACGAATATCCTCTTGGAAGAAGAAGAGATGAACAGGATGTGTCGGTGTAAAGCAGTACCTCTTTGGGAAATTAATAATGAACTAGAATATGTTTATTTGGAATACAGCAGCCGTGTTGGACGAGGTTGGGTTGTATCCTCGGAGGATAGCCGAGGGGCGAAACCACAAAGCCTCACTCACAAAAATGAATTCCTTACCTCCCTTCCTGAAAATATTTGTTCTTTTCACCACTTGGTCAAGGTTGATTTTTCTGACAACGAATTGACGGATATCAGAGGCATAAACTGCCTGACTTACTTGGATACCTTAATACTTAAAGGAAACAAATTAAAAACAATCCACAATGAAACTTTTCATGGAATGACTAATCTACGTGTATTGGATCTCTCACTTAATGAAGTAAAAAGGATCGAACCATACACATTATCTGGTTCTACTCTTGGATTGTATCTCGTTGATGTGAGTCACAACAAACTTAAAAGTCTTGACGTTACAAACTTTGCAATTAAACAACCTTTTTGTCAAATAAATTATAATGACAATCAAATTGAAGAAATCACAAATGAACTTTCCATTCAGGTGAATTTGGAGACTACTTTTGGTGACGGAGGATTTGTCAATTTGCAAAGAAACATGTTTACCAAGTTCCTGAATTTCACCAAGCTTGGTGTTTCAGATTTAACACAGCTAGGAAAAGTATTCAACTTTGGTTTTGATTTAAGAGGATGTAAATTAACATGTGACGCTACATTGGTGCCTTTTCTTAAATTATCAAAAGAAATCATTGAGAAAATGTGGAGAAATTATTTCGATGTGAAATGTTTCCAACCTCCCGAGCTTGCAAACCAATCGATCGCCTGGCTTACAAAAGAAGGACAGCTTGATAGATTTATAACCAATGTAACAGAAAACTGTCCAACGGGGTGTCATTGCTACCAGCAACCTAGCCAAGATCGAACTGTTGTCAACTGTACCAATAAAAACATGACACAACTACCAAAAAAGATTCCGCATGATCAAAACATAACATTAATTCTTAAAGGAAATCAAATATCACAGATTAAAAATATGTCTTATCTGGAGCGCGTCTCTTACTTGGATATATCAGAAAATAATGTACAAAACATCCCCGAGTCTGTTGCAAACACGCTTGTATTAAATGAAATTAAACTAAACCTCAATGGAAATAAATTACAAAAAATACCTTCTCGTTTTAAAACCAGGGACCCCTGTGATCTGAATATAGGTAAGTTAAACATGACCTGCGACTGTAGCAATGACTGGATGGATGATTGGTTGGGTGGAGGATGTCATAACAATTCTGCAGAATTGACAGACATATACTGTGTTGCCCCGTCCTATAGCATTCCAGATTCGGAGTTTGATTTCACAAACTGTGAAGAACACTTTGATTTTAAAAGTTTATCAATTGGAATAGCAATACTACTTCTCCTTCTGAGCGGAATCCTAGCCATATTTTATTACTTTCGTTATGAAATTTTCCTTCTTCGGAAACGCTTACGACAAGCTAGAAAACACAGTGGACAATATAAGTACGACATATACATATCTGTTCGTGAAAATAATGGCCAACTTCTAATGTGGATACAAAGTATTTTGCTTCCCTTCTTAAATTCTAAATCTTATAACGTATATTTCCGGCCGCTGGACGAAGCTATTGGATCAGTGAAAGAAGAGAGCATCATCGATAACGTAAAAGATTCCCGAAATTTCATTGTCATCCTGTCTTCAGATTACATTAATGACGATAACGATACGATCTGGACTCGAATCGAATGGAAACATGCTTGGAATTGCTTCAAGGAAGAAAGTAATGTAAGGAACAAAATAATAATAAACTACGACCATCTTAGGTCAAGCATTTTTCCGACTGGTCCATTCAAGGCTTATTTACGCCTGGGCCTGGCTATTGACTTTTCCAACAGAAAGCATAAACTACTAGAAGAAGTTGAAGAACGCCTAGGGGTACCAAATAAGAATTATTATCGAAAACAGTTAGGCTTAATGTCCTCCAAACCAAAATTTTGCGCAAAATTTTATAACCAACACTTTTATTCAGACGTCCCAGATACAAATGCTAAATACAGCAATGTAAAGAATCCGTATGTAGTCTCTGAAGACCAGGAGCAGCTTAGAAATAAAGACCATTCTGAGGAAGATAATGGAATCCCTGGGGGAGTACATATACACTCGGAAAATAACTTTGAACGCTTAGGATTTTATTCAATGACTGGCTATAAGACATCGGAACTTGTACATATTGATATAGTTTAAGAGTTGTATTTTTTTTAAAGCTATATATGGCGTATCTGAGCTAAAACATAAAAAATAGGAGACTGAGTGTAGATAAACATGATATATGTTATTTACGTTCAAATTAAAATTTTCACTGATTTTGAACTTGAATAATCTCATGTTTCCATAGTTAAATTGAGTTTAAACTGGGTCTGTTAATTAAATTGGGAAGTCGGTAAATAAATCGGTTATTGTTTTAAATTTCTAATATCTTTTAAACGTGATTGATTTAAATTGTGTAATTTACATGGAAGTCCTATGTTTATATAAACTAATAAAACAAATAGAAAGATCTTTTTTAATTTAAGTTAGTCTGAACTTATAAAAAATACGCCATATATGACTTTAAGCAGACTTGTATTTATCAAGGGTAAAATAACTACAAGACGATATTATTAGAATTAAGGAATACTAATGCAAATTTACACACACACACACACACACATACACACACACACACACACACATATATATAGGTATCTATGATGTGTGAGCAACATTTTTTATACTTGGATAATGATAACACGAAGTCATATGAATAATTGACTAGAGAAATGGAGTTACAAAAAGCATAATGTATTTATTTTTTTAAATTATTTATTTAGCATGTTATTGTGTTTTCTCTTTTGGTTATTAAAAGAGGAACCTGTCTTTAAACTTTCTTTGTTTTCTGATATGAATACAGTATTTTGTTATATATCAAAAGAAAACACCTCGTGCTATTATCTTTGTTAATGACAGCAACTTTTTTCAGTTAACTTAAACATGTTAAGGACACGTAATCAGTCAAGTTGAAAGCTATCCTACAGACCTCCAAGACAGTAAAATAATGTCTCTTTACTTATTTATTCAGTCATTGTAATATGAAAAGGTATATATTACATAATAGGATGCACAATTTCATTGTATTGATTCAAAAGCATGTTCTGAGAATGATCCCCTAGGCAGGTTACTGACAAATAAGGGTTATAAAGCTTTCAGCAATTTCGTTTAAAGTCAGGATATTTTGCAAATTCTTTGGTCGATATAATGACCTTGCTTGAGAATACAACCTATCTTTGGATCGTATTTTGACTGAAATGTTTCATACCAACTGTAAGACCAATGTTTTTTACCCTAATTTAGACAAACTTGTTCAGTAACTTCATTCTCCTTAGCAATACACAGGGCTCACGACGGGTGTGTAGGGGATGCTTACTCCTCCTAGACACCTGATCCCACCTAAATTTGACTACGGAATACCTGATCAATACACAGGGCTCACGGGAGGTCTAGGGGATGCTTACTCCTCCTAGACATCAGATCCCACCTAAATTTGACTATGGAATACCTGATCAATACACAGGGCTCACTGGCTGGTGTGTAGGGGATGCTTACTCCTCCTAGAACCTGATTCCACCTAAATTTGACTATGGAATACCTGATCAATAAACAGGGCTCACTGGCTGGTGTGTAGCGGATGCTTACTCCTCCTAGAACCTGATCTATGTGCTTTGTTTGCTCACCTTCTCATTTTAAAAATACATGTTCTTATCACAAACATGATACAATTTTATGTCACTTGTATATGGTAATCTGACCCTTAACAATTTCTAATGTCAAATGTTATTTTTAGTAACACCCTTTAATAGCTTTCAGGAATAGAATATATATGCTACCTCAAAATCACTGTTCGTTATTTTCACCTTATTCTCTTAAGGACGAACGAAGTAGCAAAGCTTTGGTCTACACCGTTTCTCTGCCAACTACCCTTTACTAGGAGGGTTATAATTAACATGTGCTTACGACTTAAATCCGTACAAGGAAAATTTTAGGGAAGAATACAAATTTATACCACTGTCAATAAAAGTTTGTAAATTATGTAGAGGCATTTCTAGACTAGGACTTATCAGATATCTACTTGTTCTGAAACCTTGATATATTATTGTACAGACCTGAACAACAGCCAAAATGTTCAAATATAAAAAAAGCAAGAACCAAAGAGAATGCCTGCACTTTATACACTGAACACTGTATGATTATAATCTATATCTACAAAACACTGAATGAACGTTAAAATTGTCCATTGTGCAATCTGTCTGACGTCGATCGATTTTCGTATTTTTCATATCTTTAGTTCGATATCATGCCAAATTTTATTTCTTTAATCTTCCATATACTTACTTATCCTAATGTCATTTATTTTTTAAATTACGATTTACCTACTTTTAAATATCTTCTTTGATCATCAACACACAAAAAAGCTTTCACAGTACAAAAATTGCATAATTTACACAATAAACTATGACCAGCTGAGGAGGTTGTATATGAAAAGACCAAGTAGATTCATTTTTAGAAGATGTTGTATTGTTTTTTCTATTCCCCATATTAAGGACATACGCAGCGTACCTTACCTACTGATAATTATTCAAGATATTCTTAATTTAAGATTATAGTGCCATCAGATATTCGTAGAAAAAAAATCAGCATGCATTACCACGGGTTTTGAAAAGATATCAATTGATGAAAATTCTTGTATAATTCAAAGAAAAATATACAAAAATTACTAGACGTATATTCTAAATATTTTGTTCATCCAAACTTGTTTTAGAAGAAGTGTACATTTAAATGTATCACACTGTTCCTTTAAGTATTGGAACTCTTCAACTCCAGGGAAAAAGACAATAAAGTTCAAAAAACATTGCATATGTCATGAAGCGATTGTTATGCATGTCTATAATCCAAGAACATTAAGGTTAAGCAAACAGATTGTAATAATTGGCAAAGTGCTACCAAGTGATCTTTTCAAACATCGATCCATGGTTTTATTGACATACTGTTTCACAAATTACCTGAAAATTGCCCTTGCTTTTTTATTGCAAAAATAGATATATAGAATTTTATTCTTAATTTCCACAAACAGAAGCAATAATAACCGTTTTATTTTGCTCAAATGATTCAGGAGGATTTTTTCAGAGCCAACACTTTCTGTGGATAAATTTTTGTTTATTTTTGGATTATTGTTTCATCTTCACAGGATACGAACCAACCTCATGCAAAGCTGGGACTACCTAAATTAAGATCCAATATGAGAGTATCGACAGAAAGGGGGATTTTTTTTTCCTGGCAATACAATTATTTTTGAAGGTCACCTGAGTCATTCAGGTAACCTATTGCTATCTTTTTTTGTCTGTCGTCGTGCTTAGTACGATCTGTGTCGTCCGTTAACATTTTCAGTTTCCTTAACTCCTTAACCGATTTCAACAATTTTTGACATACAGCATATCTGAGTTAATGGAAACAAAAATTGTGTATTTCATGATCACTGTCCCCCTAGGGCCTGAGGGTTAGGGCTAAAACCATAAAAATTAATTCAATCTTTAAAAATCTTCTTTATATCTGGAAGTCAAGCAGTTAAAATGGTGAAGGCTAGAGCTCCTGGATATTAATGAAACAAATAAACTAAATGCATATTAACGATGATCAAGGGTGCTTCTTCAAAAATTTGATATCATGGCCCCAGGGTCAGGGGTTCTGTTGTCAGGGCGAAGCTTTCTTGATTATATTTTGAAAATACATCAATGTTTTGAAAATCTTTGTAATTCTTAAAATAAGCGCAATGTTGTGAGGAGCAAGTGTGCTTCTTCCAAAATGAATTTCTTGATCCCTTGGTCAAGGATTCTGGTGCTATGGCTGGACTGTGTTGAATGTATAGAGAAAATGCATTATTTCTTTTAAATCTTCTGCTCTGCTCCTGAGCATCAAGGACGCAGAGGGTATCCACTTTATGAAATTTTGGACCACTCGGTCAAGTGTTCTGGTACTTGGCAGGACTCTATTAATGTGATTCCACTGAGAAAAGTTATTTTCTATTGCTGTTAACCTGTGATAATTAATCACTGTAAATAATATGATTGAAAGGTCAGTTGAGAGATTTATACAAAGATTTTCTTATAGCTATATATGGCGTATCAGAGCTAAAAAAACAAATATACGATATTGAGTGAAGATGAACTTGTTATTAGTTATTTACGTTCAAATTAAAATTTTCACCGATTTTGAACTTGAATAATCCCATGTTTCTATAGTTAATTGACTTTAAACTGTGTCTGATATTTAAATGCGGAGACGGTAAATAAATCGGTTATTGTTTTAAATTTCTAATATCTATGAAAAGAGATTGATTTAAATTGTGTAATTTACGGGAAAGTCCTATCTTTATATAAAGTAAAAGAACAAATAGAAAGGTCTTTTTAATTTTAGTTAGTCTGAACTTATCAAAAATACGCCATATATGACTTTGATATATCATATAAAAAGCAATTTCATAGTTTTTAAGGATCAGGTAGACTTGTGAATAATAGATAAATAAAAATGAAACAAAATACATTATCTTTGTACATTAAATGTTCTTCAAAGACCAAGAGAATCAAAAGGAATAAGATGTGTATACTAATAGTGCTCAATCACTATTGTTTTATTTAATTCACATTGCGATCGAGACATGTGGGGGCAGCTAAGTAATTAAGATTTAAGATTTGTTACGGAGTACTAGACTAGTTATTTTGTTAATCCCTGATCATCCTTTTTCTCTTGCCTTAGGTCAACATATCTTCATCTTTCAGTTTATATTGCTTTTTTTTTTTACTTTTATGAATTCTTTACAGTGTTTATTATAATATCTTGTTGAAATAGAGCTTGAATACCAAATATGACTATATCTTTAATACACATACGTGCATTAGAATTACATATAATGATTCTATCACACATTAACAATTGATTATTTTATGATGATAGCATGTAAATGAATATTTCACATATAATGTAAAAAATTAAGCCCAAAGCCAATGAAATAAGAGAAAATTGAGAACAGAGAATACAAGGACGTCTGGGAAGACATGGAAACAGGTGGTATCTGGTGGCTTGTAAGCTTTTACTGTCGACTTGTCAAACCAGCTTTGAGCCCTTTGTCTTGATCAGATAGATGGAGTAATCAG